TATATGGTGCCACTGTTGTAGAATGAGGCTGACATCGGGGTGGGGGTAAGACTGAGAAAAACTGAATGAAATTTGTTTACAGCACTGAAGTCTATGGGGAGAGAATAGTTTAAAAGTATTATATTTTAGGGCATTATGTTTATCGTAAGAGTACAGAATGAGGGTTGCAGAGTGGATTATATTTGGGGTTGGCGGTGTGGTGGGGGGATGTGCGGGAGGATTGTGTACTAATGAGGGAGTTTTTCTTTTGCTTTTGAAGGAGAGGAGCAAACAGGACAGGGCGCTGGGGGCGAGAGGGGGTGGGCGGGGAGAAGGTTGCAACAATGAATGAATGGAATTCCAAAATCTCTGTAGATGTTCATGGAAATGGAAAAAAAAAAATAAATAAGCAAGCAAGCAAGCAAGCAACACTATTATTGCAGAAGAAGGAAAAAAACCCCTTCTAGCCTCCCAAGAAATATAACTCTGAAAACGCAGGTTTTTTTATATGATGAAAAACTTTAATAGCATTCCCATCACACAGTCAGGAAATAGAATAAGCCCTCAAGAAAGAAACACAAAAATCCAAGTTCTTCTGCAACCACAATTATTTTCTATCTATGGAACAGACATTTTAAAAATTAAGTCATTTTTAAGTCATGTTGATATGATGATCATTGATGTAATCTGTTTAATGACTGTTGTGAGAAGGGAAGTTGGGCTATTTTTCCAGAAATTGAAAAAAATGTACCATCATTAAGATAAGGAAGAGAAAGATTTGTATCCATCCTTTTGGGACATGTAAGCTGACAGTGAAGTCTCACAGCTGGAAAATTTGTGGCTATTAATGGAGGAATTGGAGATACTTTCTAACAATCGAGTAATGCCTCGTCCACGAGCACTGTTGTTTTGGCCAGGAATTTTCACCCCAGATGGGTAGTCACCTAGGATATTGAAAACATAAGAAAAGAAATATTAGCAATTTTATAGTTCCATTACAGAATGATCTTTGAAATGAAGGTATTTCCCTAAAAAAACCATAATAATTTACATTGTGAAGAAGAGAGTAAAGGCAAACAAACTAATTATTCATTATGAATGGTTTCATTTTCGATCACACTAGGATTTATTCAGACCTTGAAATCTTAATTCAAGTTCTTTATTCACCACCTGAAATTGTATGTTATTAGTTTTGAAACTCTGTCATCTCCCAAAAGACATTGTTGTTGTTATGTGCCGTTGAGTTGCTTGTAACTCATAGCAACCCTATGTACAAGAGCCCTAAACCCTGCTCTATGGTGTGCCAACCTCACTGTCTCCGACACACCCACTCCCATGACCCCAAACACGGAATCGGTCCATCTCATCGAGGGTCTTCCTCTCCTGCACTACCCGTCCACTCTCCCAAACATGATGTCCCTCTCCAAGGACTGGTCTCTCCTTGCAACATGTCCAAAGTATGTCAGACGAAGATTCAGAATCCTTGCCTCCAAGGAGCAGCCTGGCTTTACCCTCTCCATGATGAACTTGTTTGTTCTAGCAGTCCATGGTATATTTAGTACTCTTCTCCAACACCAAAGCTCAAAAGCATAAACTCTCCTTCTATCATCCCTAGTAACTGTCCAGCTTTCCAATGCATAGCATGCAACTGCAAAGACTACAGACCGGATCAGGCATACCTTAGTCTCCAGCATGACATTGTTGCTCTCCAGTACTCTGGAGAGGTCCCTTGACAGCAGACTTTCCCAATGCAATTCGTCTCTTGATTTCCTGGCTGCTGGTACCAAAAGTGTTGACTATGGAGCCAAGCAAACGAAAACTGTTAACTATTTCAATCTCAATCTCTTCACCATCCATCCTGATGCTGCCAACTGGCCCAGTGGTGAGAATCTTTGTTTTTCTTGACGTTAAGCTTCAATCCATATTGAAAGGTTGCAGTCCTTGACCTTCTGCAGCAAGCACTTCAGGTCCTCCTCTGCTACAGCAAGCAGGGTTGTGTCATCTGCGTAACGCAGGTTGTTGATGAATCTTCCACCAATCCTGATGCCACATTCCTCCTTGTACAGCCCAGTGTCCTGGATGATCTGTTCTGCACATAGATTGAAAAGGTATGGAGACAGAATACATCCCTGGCAGACACCTTCCCAATTTTGAACCATGCAGTGTCTCCTTGCTCTGTTCTGATGACTACCTGTTGTTTCACATAAGCACAATCAAATATTCTGGGATTCCCATTCTTCTCAGATTCTGGGATTCCCATTCTTCTCAGAGTCAACCACAGCTTGTTGTGGTCCACACAGTCAAAAGCCTTTGCATAGTCAATGAAGCACAGACTGACATTCTTCTGGTATTCTCTGCTTTCTGCCAAGATCTATCTAACATTAGCTATAATATACCTAGCACTACAACCTCTTCTAAATCCAGCCTCCATATCTGGCAGTTCTCTGTTGACATATTGCTCCAATCATTTTTGGATAATTTTCAGCAGAATCTTGCTTGCTTGTGGTATTAATATTGTTTGATAATTTCCACACTCTGTTGGGTCACCTTTGTTTGGAATGGGAACAAATATAGATCTCTTCCAGTCAGTTGGCCAGCTGGCTGTCCTATAGATTTCTTGGCACAACTTAATGAGCAAAACCAGGGCAGCATCTGTTTGTTGAAGCATGTCAATTGGTATGCTGTCAACTCCTGGAGCCTTGTTTTTCTGCCAATTTTTTCAGAGCAACTTTAACTTCCTCCTTCATTACCATAGGCTCTTGCTCATACATCATAGCCATGCCTGACTCAATAGCAAACAACAAGAAGTATTATCACTCCTGAGGTCTTAATAAGCTTTAAGACACTATGTATTCTAACAAATATAAAATGCTTACTAGTATAAGTATATAAAATGGAACAGCCATTATGGAAAGCAGTTTGTTGCTTAAAAGTTGAGAACAGAAATATCATCTGATCCAATCATTCACTACTAGGTATATAGATCAAAGAAATAAGACCTTCAACACAAACTGACATACACTTATGTTTATTGCAGCATTACCTGGAACAGTGAAAACTGGGAACAATCCAAATGTTCATCAATAAACAAATGGGTAAAGAAACTATGATACATCCACATAATGGTGTACAATGCATCACTAAAACAAACAGTGTGTCAAACACTGCACAGTATGTATTAATTTAGAACAATTTATGATGAGTGTCAGTCACAAAAAGCCAATTATCTGCAAAATCACTACTAGAAAAAGCTAAGGAAAGGTTTATACATAGAATCACTCTTGGTGAAATACTGCACATTAAGTATGAATCTAGAACCAATTATGGTGAGGGACTTAAGTCAGTCCCAAAAGGATAATCAGGCTATTAAGCCACTATTAGAAAAAGCTAAGGAAAGAGAGAGAGTAAAATTTAATAGATAAGCTGGGTGTGGTGAAAGGCAATAAACAATAAAAGGCTGATTTGTTGTTGTTGTTATGTGTCGAGATGCCTGTGATCCATAGCGATCCTATGTACAGCAGCTCTGAAGCCTGTCCTGTCCTGAGCCAGTCTCACTGACTCTGACACACCAACCCCCATTGTTCCAATGACTATATCAATCCATGCTGGGTCTTCTGCCCCTGCATTGTCCCTCCACCCTTCCAAGCATGATGTCCTTCTCCAAGGACCAGTCTCTCCTGGCCAAATGCCCAGAGTATGTGAGATGAAGCATCAAAATCCTAGCTTCCATGGAGAAACTTGGTTTCACCCTCTCCAAGACAGACCTATTTGTTTTCTTGACAGTCCAAGATTCAAGACTCTTCTCCAGCACTATAATTCAAAGGCACAGATTATTCTTCTATCATCCTTAGTCACTGTCCAGCTCTCTGATGCACACCATGGCCTGGATTAGGCTCACCTTAGTCTCTAGACTGACATCACTGCTTTTCAGAACTCTGGAGAGGTCCCCGACAGCAGATTTTCCCAATGCATTTCACATTTTGATTTTCTGACTGCTGATGCTAAGAGTGTTGATTGTGGAGCCAGGCACGCTGTAACTGTTAATAACCTCAATCTCATCTCCATCCATCATGGTGCTGCCAATTGGCTCAGTGGTAAGAATCGTTGTTTTCTTGATGTTGAGCTTCAATCCATATTGATGGCTGCAGTCCTTGACCTTCTACAGCAAGTGTTTCAGGTCCTCCTTAGTTTCATCAAGCAAGATTGTGTCACATGCGTAACCTAGGCTGTTGATGAGTCTTCCTCCAATTCTGATGCCACATTCCTCCTCATAAAGCCCAGGTTCCCAAATGATTTGTTCTGCAGAGATTGAAAATTTATGGAGACAGGCTGCATCCCTGATGTACTCCTTTTCCTATTTTGAACCATGCAATTTGTCCCTGCTCTGTTTGGAGGACTGCTTCCTGGTCTAAGTATAGGTTTCACATAAGCGCAATCAAGTGTTCTGGATGCCCATTTTCCTCAAGGTCAGCCACAATTTCTGTGATCCACACATCAAATGCCTTTACATGGTCAATTAAACAGACATTCTTTAGGTACTCTTTGCTTTCTGCCAAGATCCAGATGACACTGTCACAAACTTTTCTAAATCCAGCTTGAATTTCTGCTAGTTCTGTGTCAATGTACTATTCCAGTTGATTTCAGATAATCTTCAGCAGGATTTTGCCAGTGTGTGATATTAGTGATATTGTTCGCTAATGTCCACACTCTGTTGGGTCAGTTGGTTTTTTTGAATGGTAATAAATGTCGATTATCTTCCAGTCAGTTGGACAGGTAGATGTCCTCCAGATTTCTTGGTACAACCTTGTAAGCACATCCAGGCCAGCATCCATTTGTTGAAATATGTCAATTTGTATTCCTTCACTTCCTGGGGCTTTATTTTTTGCCATATCCTTTGCCTGAACTTCTTCCTTCATCATTGCCTTTTGATCATATGTTGTTTCTAGAAATCCTTGTGTCAGCCAATTCTTTTTAGTACAATAACTCTGTATATACTCCTCCCATATTATTTTAATGTTGCCTGCATCATTCAATATTCTGCCCATAGCACCCTTAAGGATTGCAACTCACAGCTTGAATTTGTTCTTTAGTTCCTTCAGCTTAAGAAATGCTGAGTGAATTTGGCCCTTTTGTTTTTCTGACTCCAGCTCCTTACACATTTCATTATTAATACTTTGCCTTGGTCTTCCCCAAGCTGCCCTTTGAAATCTTCAGTTCAGCTCCTTAACTTCTTGATTTCTTCCCTTTGCTTTGGCTTCTCAGCTCTCTACTGTAATATTCAGTCTCTTTGGACATCCATTTCGGTCTTTTCCTTTGTCTTTGTAATAACTTTTTGCACTCTACATGGACAATATTCTTAGTACCTTCCCACAGGTCTTCATTCTTTAACATTCAAGGCCTCAAACCTGTTCCTGAGTTGGTTTTAAATTCAGGCAGGATAGATTCAAGATCAAATTTTGATTCCTGTGAATATGATTTAACCTTCTTTAGCTTTAATTTGAACTTGCATATGAGTAGTTGATGGTCTGTTCCACAATCAGCACCTGATATTGTTCCCCAGCAACACTGCAATTAATTAACCAACTGTGATTCAGTGACGGGTAATCGGGATGGGAGTGTCAGAGACAGTGTGATTGGCACAGGACAGAGCAGAGTTTAGGGCTGCTGTTTAGGGTTGCTATGAGTCGCAAGCGACTCGACAGCACATAACAACAACAACAAGTTACTGCTCTTAAAAAAGTATGTATGAATGACTGAAAAAGCTGTATGATTTATAAACTTACACTTAAATTAAAACACTGAAATCAAGAAAATACAATTATAATAAAAAACTAAGATGCTTACCAGTGTGTATGTTTGATCTTTGTTCCTGATTATAAGAATTGAAATGAGGAAATCCTGCATTCTCCATCCTGAGTTTCTGTTAAAAAACAAAAATTGAGAGCAGTAGGAAATGTTTGTTATCACTGGAGGGAGGGTTTGCTTCAACATCAAATTACTCTTTAAAATATGTTAACTTACGGCTTAATACTTTTTCAATGTCTGATTCCCTTTAAATTTTACAGTTAAACAATTTCTAATACACTCACTTGCTTAATTCATTTGATATTTGTAATTTTTACTCAGCTTCAAAGATCACTCCAACAGCACCTTTTAAGATATATCTTTTTTTGTTAGAAATATATTAGAATCTTGGCTTAGCCCTTCCGGGACACCCACATTTGGTGCTCACCTAGTAAAAACCTGCTATCCCACTTCTAGTGCATGTTGCCATCTGGAGGGGGACATGCACGAACCTGAAGAAAATAGGCTTTACTCTGCAAACCTTATCAACAAATCCTCCTGGGACAAATGAGCACCATTCTTGTTGTGAAATTCCTCTGAGAATGACTCATAGAGACCCCATGAACAAGAAACTTTAACCCTGACCTATTCTGTGTCATCCTCATCATCTCTGACACATTAGAGACCACTGCTGAAGTCACCATGTCGAACCATCTCATTGGGGGGCTTCCTCTCCTGTGCTGACCCTCCATCTTTACAAGTATCATGTCTCTTTCCAAGAAGTAACCTTGGCTACCTAGATGTCCAAAATATGAAAGACAAAGCTTCACCATCTGTGTTTCTAAGGAACACTCTACTCTGGATGCAATTTTTCCAAGGCATATCTGTTTGTTCTTTTTGTAGTCCATGGGATGTTCAGTACTCTTCTCCAGCACCACAACTCAGAGGCATCAATTCTTCTTATGTCATCCTTATTCATTGTCCAACTCTCTGATTCTTAGAAGACCATGACCTGAATCAGGGGCAACTTAAGTCTTTAAACAGATATTACTGTTCTTCATCATTTTTGAAAGGTCCCTGAAAGTGGATTTGTCCAATGTAGTATGTCTCCTGATTTTCTAACTGCCTGTGCCAAGCGTGCTAATTGTTGCTCCAAGCAAGATGAAATCACTGACAACTTCAATCGTTTCTCCATCTATAATAATGCTGTTGGTCCTGTGATGAGTTACATAAAAAAATCTAAAATATTTCAAATTTTCCTATTCATTCAAAATGTTTTCCATTACTAAAATTATGGTCTTAAAAATTCAAAGCAGAGTATAAGTCAGCCTACTGAAAGAGTTAAGCTAGTGCTTCCTAATGTCATGGGAGGGAAAAGTCATTAACACTAGTACTGTGAAAAACATGTTCTGGAGTCAGAAAACCTGGGTTAGAATCCTTCACTCAACTACAAAGTGACATTCCTGTTAACTCTGGTATAAACCTGGAAAAATGGCTACTTACATACAGCAATAACAACAGCATTAATGAACTAGTCAGTGATTACAACATGCCAAGAACCAGTAGTGTAACAACTAGAGAAGAGATGGAAGAGTATACAGAGTCATTGTACCAAAAGGAATTGGAGGACACAGAATTTTATGAAACAACATATGAGCAAGAGCCTATGGTGATGAAGGAGAAGTTCAATCTGCTCTGAAAGAATTGGCTAAAAAACAAGGCCCAGGAATTGATGACATACTGACTGACATAAGAAACAGATGCTACCATGGATGTGCTCACCAAGTTGTGCCAAGAAATCTGGAGGACAACCACCTGGCCTACTGACTGGAACAGATCTGTATTTGTTCCCATGCCAAAGAAAGGTGATCCAACAGAGTGTGGAAATTATCAAACAATATCATTGATATCACATGCAGGCAAGATTCTGCTGAAGATCATCCAAAAAAGACTGGTACAACACATCAACAGAGAACTGCCACAACTGCAGGTTGTATTTAGAAGAGGCCATGGCACTAGGGATATTATAGGTAATGTCAGATGGATCTTGGCTGAAAGCAGAGTACTAGAGGAATGTCTATCTTTGTTTCATTGACTGTGCAAAGGTATTTGACTGTGTGGATCATAACAAACTGTGGCGGACTTTGAGAAGAATGGGAATCACAGAACACTTGATTGTACTTATGCAAAATTTATACTTGGAACATGAGGCAGTCGTCAGAACAGAGCAAGGAAACACTGCATGGTTCAAAATTGGGAAGGGTGTGCATCAAGGATGTGTCCAATCTTCATATCTTTTCAATCTGTATGCAGAACAGTTTATCTGGGAGGCTGGGCTCTATGAGAAGTGTGGCATCATGATTGGAGGTAGTCTTATCAACCATCTGCATTATGCAGATGACAGAACCTTGCTTGCTGCAAGTGGGGAGGACCTGAAGCACTTGCTGCAGAAGGTCAAGGATTGCAGCCTTCAATATAGTTTGAAGCTCAACATCAAGAAAACAAAGATTTTCACCACTGGGCTGAATGGCAGCATCATGATACATGGTGAAGACTGAGACTGTTGACAGCTTTAGTTTGCTTGGCTCTACAATCAACACTCTTGGTACCAGCAGCCAGGAAATTAAAAGACGAATTGCATTGGGAAAATCTGCTGTCAGAGACCTCTCCAAAGTACTGAAGAGCTACAATGTCAATCTGGAGAGTAAGGTGTGCCTGGATCCAGGCCATGGTCTTTGCCATTACTTACTATGCTTCAGAGAGCTGGTTAATGACTAGGGATAACAGGAGAATTGATGCCTTTGAGCTGTGGTGCTGCAGGAGAGTACTGAATATACTACGGACTGATAGAACAGAAGTTTGTCTTGGAGAGGGTGAAGCCAGGCTGCTCCTCGGAGGCAAGGATTCTGAATCTTCGTCTTACATACTTTGGACATATTGCAAGGGGGGATCAGTCCTTAGAAAGGGTCATCATGCTTTGGAGAGTGGAGGAAGACCCACAATGAGATGGATTGATTCCATCACTGGGGTAATGGAGATAGGGATGTCAGAGACAGTGGGATTGGCAAAGGATAGAGCAGGGTTTAGGGCTGTTGTACATAGGGTCGCTATGAGTAGCAAGCCACTGGATGGCACATAACAACAACAACAACTGAGAAAATTATTCTTATTTCTATGGAGGAACAGAATATACATTTTCTCAAGTATCATAACTAGTATGAGTGGATCCTATTACATGAACACACGCAAGCAGGTTCCAGAGCCTATGCTTTTCAATGCTACTACTGAAGTGAATTGTACACAAAAATAGTCACTGGATGCATTCAATATTTCGTTCATTCCACTAATATTTACTTTGTGGGTACAATTATTAGGCTGTTTTAAAGTACTGAAATGCAAAGAGTAAAATATTCTTCATGGAGTTTACCTTCTCATCAGAAGAGTAACAATAAAATAAAATGGCAAGATTTATATTATTAGATAAGCAAGAAAGACTAAAAAGAAGGCAGATGCTTTAAAATCCAGTATCTAGGGAAGCATAAGGTAAAGCAAGGGGAAATGACATGACAACATCAAGGAGAACTGTGAGTCTGTCAATGCAAAAAGCTTCAGAGTTTAGTATGCTTGACTTGTTCCAGAAACAGCAAGGAAGCTCAAAGGGCTGAAATGTAGTAAGCAGGAGGCAGAGTGCAGGAAATCAGGTCAGAGAGGTAATGAAAGGTCAAATCAGAGAGAGCCTGGTAAGCGAGTGCAAGGAATTTAGCGTTTATTTGAAGTGAGATTAGACATTTGGAAGTCTGAACAAATAAAGTATTCATGTATCCGATCTAGCTTTTAACACCATCACATTTACTGAAACAGAGGAGGGAGAGAACCGTTTAAAAGAGATATATAACTAGGTATTTCTGTCATCACAGGAGACTAGAGCGAGGGCTACATGGTGGAGGGGACCTGGGGGAGGGTTTGTAAAACAATGAAAGAATCTTTTCTTTTACTTTTCCATAATTTTTGACTCATGTACTTATAACTTGTTAGTCAAATTTGTGTCTTCTAGATTGCAACCCCCCCATGATACATCTTCAAGGATATGAACATGTACGGCCAAGCACAATCAATAAGAGTGCATCTAAATTCCAAAATCAATCTCCATAATAGTCTATGTGTTTCCTACTGCCAAAGGGGCCCTTTAGAGTAGTGAGAGAAGATCTTCACCCTGAAACCCACAGCGTCCCTCTTCAGCAGGAAGTAGCTAAGAGAAGACGCCATCCCCTTTTCCTTATGACTCAGGGTGAAGTCTCTCTCAGGGAGGAGTGATAGGGAATGGCAAAGGACACACTGACAAAGAAGATTAATCAGAACTGGCTTTGATAAGCACTGTGGCATTTGGACAAGAACAAACTGGGAGGAGGGTAGAGAGAATAGTGCAACAATGAATGAATGAATGAATGGAAACCCAAAATCTCTGTAAATGTTTATGAAAATTAATAAAATATAGAAAAAAAAAACAAAACAAAAAACACCATCACATTTGCCATTTTGGTGACAGCAGACCTAAGGGAGGAAACAAGACAATTACTTGTTAGTAAATGAATTATGTTTCTCAAGGATATATTTTGGTGGTCTAGTTATAAGAATCTGTGCTGCATTCTCAAAGACAAGTGGTTCAAATCTACTAGCTGCTGCTCCACGGGAGAAGGATGGGCAATCTCTTGCTGTGTGATTAACTGTCTCAGAAAACTCTCTGAAGAGCCAGCTTTGGATTGGTTCTAACTCAATGGTACTCCACAACAACAACAACAACAACGACCCTTACTTGTATATATGACCCTGTTTGGAAATAGGTGGTTCTCTCTTGTTAATGAAGTCTTGAGAAGGGTGAGTAGAAACCTTATCATTGCCAAGTGGTATTTACATAAAGGGAAAAATAGACAAAGAAATACATAGAGAAGGAAGACATTCACCATGTGAGGACCAGTCTACCATAAAGAAATGCCAAGAATTACCATCAGAAATTAGGAAAAAATCCATAGTAGGAAGTGATACAGAGGAGACAATGACTTGGATTTTTAATCATCAAAACCATGGGGAAATAAATGTTATTTCAAGTCACCAGTATGGGGTATTTTGTTGTTGTTG